AATTTATGAGAAGGCAGGAATATAAAGATTATGTAAATTATTATTAGAAGTAAAAGTAACAGTACTGTAATATTCTGTGAGCTAAAGGACATTCCAAGCACTCATTACATTCAGTCATAATCTGATGAGTATAATTGGTGTATACTTCTACATTTTCATTTGTCGCCCTGAGAATGCAAGTGATTGTCTAAACTGCAGTGTCCTTCTTACAAACTCAGCTTTCCTTTGAAGCAGTGGTTTAGGCTGTCTCTTCAGAGAGAAATACACACATTTCCTTTTATCATGACCTACCTTTAAGCAGGCACTGCCTCACTTCTCCTGCCTCATAGCGCAGCCCGGCGCAGTTGGTAAAATTCAGAGGGAGACACGGCTCAGGCAGAGGGTACTCTGTTTCCTTGTCATTCACCACCAGTTTGGTGGGGCAGTGCATGGGGCCAAGAACCTGTACAGTGAAAAGGAAGCAAACTTTTGTTTCAGTCCCTCAATTTGCAAATTCATCAAATACAGTGAAATCTATGTCTGAATATATTGGTTTAATTAAATGTGAAATTAATCATCAGTCAGCACAGTCTTTGCATGTCCCTGTAATTTCTTAATGAACTCAAATGGTCCTGCAAAGGACGAGCATAGCGTACTTTAATGGACCCCTTAGTGCCCTCAATGACAGCGTCATTTGGTAGTCGGGCTGCAATTGAAAAGGCACACAAGGCCATCCTCTTCCTGGAGAATTTCATCGTCACAACCACTGATTCATCCACTCCTGTTAAACATTCAAAAACATGAAATTATTGAAAGCATCAAACAAATTAGCATTAAAATGTTGTTTTAGACCTCTGCAGATGCAAATTTTTTTATTATATATTTAAACTGAGTTTGGAATTAGGTTTATTTATTAGTTTTTTTAAGAAGATAGTATACACAATGAAAGAAACTATTTTTTATTATTCAATAAATTGCCAAATGCCTTCCATGAAGAAAAGAAAATGCTTAATACATATATTATATGATGGTTTTGCACTAAGATATCCTTCAGTGAGACATGCAGTTACATATTCTCCTGCCAGTTTTACCGTATTACTGTATTCTCTGGGGGGATTTGGATTAGTGTGACATTTTAATGATAAGTCTTGGATTTTCTGTGTGAAATTCTGTCCTGGGGTGTTTACATTTTAGACAATTCATTTAAAAGTAATTCCTCTGTATCACACAAAGTGTGCTTCTCTTCCTCTATTTGTTTTTTTTATGGCAAGGCTCAAGCGTGCGTTTGTGATCGCTGAAGCACGCCCTGTGGTAAATGATACTAACATACATCCTATTTCTCCCACATGATCTGAATCATACCTGAGTCAAGCAGCACCCCTGTGGCTTGGATGGACTCTGGCCTTTCACCATTGAACACCATCAACACAAACTGCAGGCAGTACACTCCGATATCCAGCAGAGCTCCTCCACCCAGCTCCTTCTGCACTGATCGGGGAATGTCGAGCTGAGGGGAGCCAAAGTAGGCTTTTACCAGCTTCACATCCCCAACC